ATAGGACAAGAACAGCAACATATTCAATGAAGATCAACAGAGCAACACAACAGTACTGTCTAAACCAGGAGACTAATGGGAACTATCAGAGTTTTTTCAAATGGATTTTGCTACATTTTTATCTTCCTCTATGAGGTACACCCTTGGAAATCTGATTGATTTGAATCAATTTACTAACTAAATTTACTAAATTTGTAGATTGATTCAGGTAGTATTGGCATTTTTATTATATTTTTATTTTTAAAAATTTAATATTTAATTTTTCCCAATTACATGTAAAACAATTTTAACATTCTTTTTTTCAAATTTTGAGTTCTAAATTCTCTCCATTCCTTCCTTACTCTCCTCATTGAGAAGGCAAGCAATTCTATATAGGTTATACTTCTATAATCATGCAAAATATATTTCAGTGTAAGTCATACTGTGAAAGAAAACACAAACAGAAAAAAAAAACTAAGAAAAAGTATCTGTGATCTGCATTCAGGCTCAATCAGTTCTTTCTCTGGAGATGGACAGCACCTTTTATCATAAGTCCTTCAGGATTATCTTAGATTATTGTATTGCTAAGAATAGCTAAGTTATTCACAGTAGGTCATCATACAATATTGCTGTTACTATGAACAATGTTCTCCTGGCTCTGCTTATTTCACTTTGCATCAGTTCATGTAAGTCTTTCCAAGTTTTTCTGAAATTATCCTGCTTGTCATTTCTTATAGCACAGTAATATTCCATCATAATCATATACCATAACTTGTTCAGCCATTCCCCAATTGAAAGACATCCTCATAATTTCCAATTCTTTGCTACCACTAAAAGAGCTGCAATAAATATTTTTTGTATATAGAGGTCCTTTTCTCAAAAAATCTTTTTGGGATACAGACCTAGTAGTGGTATTACTAGATCAAAAGATAGGCACAGTTTCATTGCCCTTTGTGCATAGTTCCAAATTGCTCTCTAGAATGATTGAATCAGTATACAACTTCACCAACAGTGCATTAACGTTTTAATTTTTTCACATCCCCTCCAACATTGGTCATTTTCCTTTTCTGTCATATTAGTCAATCTGATAGATGTGGGGTAGTACCTTAAAGTTGTTTTAATTTGCATTTCTCTAATCAACAGTGATTTAGAGCATTTTCTCATATGACTATAGATAGCTTTGATTACTTTGTCTGAAAACTACCTGTTCATATCATTTGACCATTGATCAATTGAAGAATGACTCTTATTTTTACAAATTTGGCTCATATTTCTATATGTTTGAGAAATGAGGTCTTTATCAGAGAAACTTGCTGTAAAATTTTTTTACAGTAATGATTACCAACTGTGTACTTCCCTCCATCTTATTTTCCTTATTTATCCTTCTCTCTCTCTCTCTCCCTCTCTCTCCCTCTCACACACACACACACACACACACACACACACACACGCACGCACACATGCACATCATCATCATCATCATCATCATCATCATCATAATCAGACCCTTGGGTTTAATGATTGATCCTCTCCACACATTTCTACACAGATGCTTCCCTGATCTATATATCTAGCTCTGTTCTCTCAACTAGTCTTTTTCCCTATCATGAACTTCCTACTGCACATTACAAACTGGATATACTCATCTCAAACTTAGTAGGTCCAAAACTAAACTTATCTCCCCCCTTCAAAGGCACTGTTATTCTGAATCTCATTATTTCTCCCAAGGACACTGCTGCCCTTTAATCACTCAAGTTCACAACCTCTGAGACACATTGACTCTGACTTCACAGTTTCATTGTCTTGGGAGATTCCCACTACTAGGCATTTTCTCCCAGTCCCTAATGGTAAGTGTCAATTATGGGAGAATCAATGAAATGCACATTTCTTGGAGTGAAAAGGCATTATACATTATAGTTCCTTAAAGCCTCTCTTTCATGTACTCTGTGTCCTGGTTCTTGAGTAGCACAATGCCCAGCTAATAATAATTTGTTGTTCAGTCATTTTTCAATTGTGTTCCACTATTTGTAACTCCATTTGGCATCTTCTTGGCAAAGGTACTGGAATGGTTTGCCATTTCCTTCTCCACTTCATTTTACAGATGAGGAAACTGAGGCAAACAGTAATGTGACTTGCCTAGAGTCACACAAGTAGTAAGTGTCTGAGGCTAGATTTGAACTCAGGAAAATGAGTCTTCCTGACTGCAGGTCCAGGACTCTATCCACTGTGTCACCTAGCTTCCCAAATATGAGGTATACTCTCTTATAATTACATAAAACATCCACAGGAAAAATTGTCTCAAACACAAAAGTACAGTGGGAAGGGGAAGGCAATAAGTATTTATGTAATACTTCCTATGTGCCATGCATGGTGCTAGGTCCTTTATGAATATTTTCTCATCTGAGTTTCATAACAACTCAAGAAGGTAGGTCTATTAATTATCCTCATTTTACAATTGAGGAAATAGCTGTTTTGGACTTAACTTTTTTTGTTGTTATTCAGTTTTTTCAGTCTTGTATAACTTCATGATCCCATTTAAGGGTGGGTTTTTTTTTTTGTTTGTTTGTTTGTTTTTGGTAAAGATACTGGAGAGGTTTGCCATTTCCTTCTCCAGTTCATTTTACAGATGAGGAATTGAGGCGAATAATGTTAAGTGACTTGCCCAGGGTCACACAGGTAGTAAGCGAGCCTGGATTTGAATCAGGTCTTCTTAACTCCAAGCTGGGCACTCTGTCTACCTCTAGGGACTTAACTTTAGCAAATGTTAATATATTTAGTTATTTGGAGTTGATAATCTATATTACATGAGTTTATAAGTTTGAGTTAATTTCAAAATGTTGTCACTTTGAAATCAACGCTGAGTGTGGTTTTATTAAAGAGTGGACTTTCACTTCCAGTGCCCAATTAGATCACTATATTTATATAGCATTCATTTGGTTTGGTTCTTTTATTCTTTCCATTTACATTGTTAGTGTCATTGTGTATATTGTACTCTAGTTATGCCTACTTCACTCTAAGTCAAATAGATAGACACCTAAAGCATCTGTTAAGCACTTAGTAAAGGCCACCATCGTGTAGAGCTGTGAGAATACAAATGCAAGCAAAAAGAATGACAACCTCTACCCTCAAGGAGCTTACATTTTAATTTAGGAAAACAACATATAAAAGGGAATTGAAAAGATGGTGGATCGAGAGAAAGTACCTGAATGTGGGCACAAGTGGGATAGTCTAACAAGGAGAGAAGTGAACTGAGCTTGAACCAAGCGCTTCTTCCAATTGAGGTTGTAGGGAGGAACTCGTCAGTGTCAATGTCTATGTATTCTTATGCTTCTCAATGGTCTCCATATTCCTTCTTTTGTAGAGAACAGAAATATTTCATTACATTCATGTACCACAATTGGTTTAGCCATTCAGCAAGAGGTGGAATCTTTATTTTTCCAGTTCTTAAATACAAAAAGTAGTTTTTGCTATAAATATTTTGGTGTATACATGACCTTTTTTTTCTTATTTTTTTTTTACCTACTTGGAGCATCTGACTATTACCAGGATCTCTGGGACAGAAATAATGGGTATTTTAGCAATTTTCTTTAAATAATTCTATCAATCAACAATCAACAAATGTTTATTAATTACCTACTATCTACCAGACACTAGGGATGAAAGAGCAAAGAATGAACCAAGCCCTGCTGGCAATGAGCCTACTTTCCAATGGATCCATATAAAAATATATACGTCATAAATATAAAGTCACAAAGTAGTTACATACAAAATATTGTTTTAGCAAAGGCATTAGCAATTGGGGAAGATAAGGAAAGGCTTCATGTAGCAGACAATATCTGAAGCTGATCTTAAAGGAAGAAAGGGACTTTATGAGTTAGTGGTAAGGAGGAAATGAAACTTAGGAATGAGGTAAAGCAAATATAAAGGTGAAGAAATGGGACCTGAATCACCATGATGGAGGAACAGAAAAAAAACTTGTTTGACTGGATTGCAGAGTGAAGAAGAAGGAACCCAGTCTGGTAAGGCTGGAAATGTAGGTGGAAGCCAGGTTGTATAGAGCCTAAAAGCTAAAGAGAAGAAGTTTTTTAATCCTATAGAAGAAATCAGGAAGTCACTAGAATTGGTTAAGTGCAGGAGGCCTATAGTATGATCCTCACTTAAGGAAAACTACTCTGGCATTAGCATGGACTGGAGTGGTAAGAGTGTTGAGGCCTGAAAACAAATTAGGAGGCTTTTGTGACGACTGAGGTGGAAGGTGATGAGGGATGTTCCAAAATGGTTGGAACAAGTCATAGTAACACCAATATGCTGTCCACAACTCCGCTATTGACCATTTCCATCTTTTGTTATCCCCACCAATTTTCAAGGACTCAGGTGAAACAAGCATCATTTTGACTTTCATTTCTCTTGTGTTCTTGTTATTCAATCATTTATCAGTCATGTCTGACTCTCAATCACCCCATTTGGCGGTTTCTTGGCAAAGATACTGGTGTGGTTTGCCATTTTGTTCTCCAGCTCATTTTACAGATGAGGAAACTGAGGCAAACAGGGTAAAGTGACTTGACAAGGGTCACATAGCAGGAAGTTGAATCTTCCTGATTCTGAGGCCTGGAACTTTATCCACTGCCCCACCTTTGGTCTCTCATTCATGACATTAAAGTAAATGCCATCAAATAGGAGGTTTTGATATATTAATATTTATTTAATGCCAGCAGCCAGGGACACTCCACTGATCTAGTGGAGTGACTTAGGTCATCTACCTGAAGAGTTTGCACTGTGAGGCCCTGGGCACTCTGTTTTTCCTGGTAGGTACAAAGGATGTCTAGACGGTTTTTGAGGTTGGTGTTAGAAAACACTTCTGTTGAAGCCCTCACATCTGGGGAATAATTAGGCACCTGCTGCATTTCTCAAACACTACACCCACACATCTGCTTTAGTCTCCCATTCTAGACTTACAGTGTTAGAGACAGCAAGAGTTGCTTTTGGTTTCAATTTCTCTTGTCCTTCCCACCCTTTTCTTCTTACTATAAATAAGAGAAACATTTGGATAAGCAATAGAAAGAAGAGAGGAGAGGAGAAGGAAGAGCAAATAAAGGAAGAAATGAGAGAAAGAGGAAACTTGTGAGAGCACTCCTGAATGGTCTGGCTTGAAGCCTCCTGAAAAAGGTAAGGGTTATTTCCAAGTTTTCTCTTATCTTCCATGCCTCTTTTTCCTGGAGCTTGAAAGTTTGTCTCAGGATTAAAGCCCAGTGAGAAGGGATAAGGGGGCCCCTTGAACAAGACCATTTGCTTGGCACTGATTGATCCAAACAGCTTCCTCTGGCCTTAGCTACTGGCCCCTGGCTTTGTGTTCTGGAGATACTGCAGCTTATCCCCTTTAAGGCAGTGGGAAGTGCTGAGGGAGAGTGAGACAAGCTTAAAGGACAAAGGACAAAGCCATGATACGGGGGACCTGGCTTCCAGCCCTGTCTCTTCTAGTTGTCTGATCCTGGCCAAACCCCTTTAACCTCTGTGAGCCACAGTTTTCTCATCAGCAGAAGTGGAGATGAAATGATATGTTTGTACAAGCAGGGGATGGGACCACACGATATCTTGAGGTCTCCTAGAGATGTGGAATCAACGATTCTCAGCCTAGTGGAGTGGAAACCACACTAGAATTGGATTTCAGGCATGTAGGGCCGGGTTCTCTATCATCTGGACAATCTCAATGGCAGAGGCATTTGTTCTTGCTGGGAGAAGACAGAATCTATAAGGTTTGCAAAGGCCCCGGAGTCTACATCAGCTGGGAATTGTACTGCTGAGGAGCAGGGCAGTGAGAGTTTCCAGAATACTCTGGGTGGACTGTAGCTGTCAGCCTGGAGACAGGTGTAGAGGGAGTGAGGCGCATCCTCTTTGCCCCCAGTGCTGGATGGACCCCTGTGAGGATGGCCCTGCTCCTTCCTGGGTGGTGCTTGGGGCATGGGCAGCAGGGACGGCCCTCGCCCTGGGTCCCTTGGGCTCTGTGGGCTCGCTGCTGTTCAGCAGGCTGCTAGGAGAATGCTGGGAGGATTGCCAGGACTTTGCTCCTACCAAAGGTTGGATTCTATATGGGGACGCTGCTGGTTGAGCAAGAGTTGTTGTTGCTGTTTTTGTGGTTGTTGTTGTTGTTGAGTTGTTCATTCATGTCTGACTCTTCATGACCCCATAGACCAGTTGTCCATAGGGTTGTCTTGGCAATGACACTAGAGTGGTTTACCATTTCCTTCTCCAGTGGATCATCTATTGTCAGCCAGTGTTCACTACCACCACAAGACAGTGGTCCATGAGGCAAAGAACAGATGGAGTTAATTTATTAGGAGCAGTCCAAGCTGAACCTTAAAAGAATGAGTAGGAAAAGAGTGAAGGAGAATAACACTAACTGGTGTCTGAATTACCCTGGTAAGGTTCACTAAATGCTTTGGAGAAATTATCTCATTTAAACCATGACAGCCCAGTGAAGTAAGTACTTTGCTGTTGTGTCCATTGCACAGGTGAGGAACCTGAGGTGCAGAGACAGTAAGTCCATGGCCACCAAGCTGGGATGTGTGGCTGACAGGATGGGAGCCCAGCTCCTCCTGACTCCAGGCCCAGCCCTATATCCAACTTATCACATGGCCTCAATAAGTCACATGTTAGGGGATAACATGTCTTTTCCTTGTTCTTTCCTGACCCCGAATATCCAGCTGCTGACTATTTCCAATCTAAGAGAAATGGGAAAAGTCTCCTTGCACTGCTCTAAATTATCTAATAGACACTATATCATATGAGGTCAGTGTAGATACACAGGGCAGCCTGCCCTCCAGGTCTGGCACAGTGAAGGCTGCTTTGGTCCAAGCTCTGGGATGTTCCTAGGAGTAAAGATCCACAGTGTATCTACATGGGACTAGAAACCCAGGGAAAACATCTACACAACAGGCAGAAATCTGAGACTCTGGAAGGCAGAGGAGTGACTATTCCCACTCCTGGCCTCATTTCCTGGCTCCCAGAAAGGACTACGAAGTTCTTTACAACTCAACTACTTCTGTAAGGGTTGGATTCAACTGGGGCTCAGGGCCTGGGGTCTGGCTGTACACCCCAGAGCTCCAGAGCCCCAGAGCCCCAGAGCTTTCACCTGGAGGGACTTAGGTAGCCAGAGTTTCAGTGATTGTCAGAGCAGCTACTGAGGTGATAGTTACGTATTTCTTTAATGAGGTCAGAGGCAGCTGACCTTTAATGAGGCATCCTTGTTCACTGTTGAGAAATTGGGTGACTTCCACCAATGATTAATTTGATTGTCTTTTTTTGGGAGTGGATAAGGACCTAAGCTTTCATTGGTTTAATAATCTCCTAGGAATGAAACTCCTTCTACCAATATAGGCCTACAACTGTTCTGCAATTTATAATCTTATAAAGATTCATGGGCCATTGGCAGATTAAGTGACTTGCCAAAGGTCACAAATTCAGGTCATGTCAGAGACAGTATTTAATCTATGTTTTCTTGGCTCTCAAACCAACTCTTTATCAACTCTGCCATGATGCCAATGATTAAGAACAATTCTATGCCAGTTAAATGAAAGAGCTCCTTGGTGTCCACAAATTGAGAGGACAAACAGAAGTCAGGAAATAGAAATTATAGCAATAATCAGAAACCTCAGAGTGAGGTGGGAGAAAGGGAGGGATGGACAGAAATCACCCCAAAGTCATTCAGGCAACACTAAGAAGGGACTAGCACCAGGCACTAATAAAAAGCTATTTATCTCAAAGTATTTGCCCTAGACACTGTCCTATATAATCCCTCCCTCACACCAATGCATGTCCATGGCCACTGTGAACCTGGACCAACATAATGCAAAGAGATATGAGTATTGTACCAGGTAGAAACTTGTACTTTCAAAGATAGGGAATATTTTTCCTATGTGACAGCCTTAGGGATCAAGAATGAAGTGACAGGACATCTGGGCAAGACAGCTCAGTGGTGTAGTGAACAGAGAGCTGGGCCAGGAATCAGGAAGACCTCTGTTTAAACCCAGAAACTGTCTACCTCAGTTTCCTCCTCTGTAAGAATGGGGATAACAATCATACTTACCTCCCAGGCTTGTCATGAGGATAAGATAAGATATTTGTAAAGTGTTTTGTAATTCTTAAGGCACTACATAGAGGTCATTATTATCATTGCCATTAATATCATCAACATTATTATTTGTCATTGCCAGTTCTTTGTTCCTAAAAACAGAATTCCACAAGCACAGAACATTCTCTCTTCTGCTGTTCCTAATATCTGACTCACCTAGGCAGTCTCAGTTGAGGATTGTGTGAATTCTGCACCTTCACTTCTGTCTAAGGGGCTCCTTTGCATTTACAGGTGACCATGGCATCAGCAGAGCACATGGAGGCCCCCATATGTCTGGTAGAAAACAAGAATGAAAAACTGATGGTAAACCAGCAAGCCCTACAGATTCTAACTTCCATTACCAAGCCAGTGGTGGTAGTAGCTATTGTTGGCCTGTACCGTACTGGAAAATCCTACCTGATGAACAGACTGGCAGGAAAGAATGTAGGTAAGTGAACTCTCTCACCTCCGGGAGTCTAATTTTGGAGGATATTATGCCACAGGGTTAGAGTTGCTACAAGGCATGTCTGAGACTTAATGAAGGTTTAAAAATTGGACCCTGGTTTATTGTTGCCTTCTAATCAGTCAACAAGCATTTATTAAGTACCTACTATGTGCTAGAAACGATGCTAAGTGCTGAGGAGACAGAGAAAGGAAAATTCACTTTCTGATCTCAAGGAGCTCACAGTCTAATGGAGTAGACAACTTGCAAACAACTGAGTACAAATGAGATCTATACGAGATACATTGGAGATAATTATTAGAGGAAAGGCACTAGCATTAAAGGGATCCAGACAAGTTTCTCACTTAAGTTTAGCTGAGAATTGAAGGGAAACAGGGAAGCCAAAAGGCAGAGGTGAAGAGGGGGAGCATTCCAGGCAGGAAATCGAGTCAGGAGATGGAGTGTCCACCAAAGGCTTAGATCTTACACTGTGATACTTGTGAATTAAATGATCCCACAACAAATGTCTTCATGACAAAGATACTCAAATGCTCTAGCATTAAAAATGGTTGCATTTCTTTGAAAACAGAAAAATGTCCTGTCCCTGGCTGCCTGTCTCCTAGTGGCTGTGTTTCTTACCTCCTGCTAGCCCTGCATCCCCTCAGGATTATCGCCTCTCCTCTACATTATGTCGGTCTGAGAATGCGGTTGTCACTTACTCCTGTGAGTAATCAGAGCAGCCAGATCACAAGAGGGAAACATTTTCATCATATGGATTGTTCTCACAGGATCATCAACACAGAGCTAGAAGAGACCACAGGGGACATCTGACTCAACCTCCCTCTTTTTTTACAGTTGAGGAAAGTAAGCTCCAGAGGGGTGTCGTTTATTTTTCATCCTTCAGTTTTGAAGAGACCAATGATATCATGCGGTGAATTCTTGACTTAGGCATGTATTGAACTCAAGTAAGGCAGAGTTGCATAAAACCATCAGCCTCACTTTCTCTTCCACAGTCGTCTGTGTCCAGTGGTGAGACAAAATTCAGGATGACTGGCAATGGCCTGGGATGCCCTGGCCGACTTTGGTGTCTGACCAAGCACCAGCTTCAGTCACCTTCATGGCCGCTGGAACAAATTGTTTTCCTTCACCCATTCCTCCTGGGGAAGTCTCACATGCTTGGAGTAGACATCCTCTTAACTTACTGACAGATGTGAGGCCTCTCAGTTACCCTCAACCTGGTTTAAGATGGTTTTACTGGGGTGTGGCTGCGTGCATTTTAAGCTTTTTGGAGACATAGATGAGAACGGGGTGAGAGGTGGACACCAAAGGTGGATCAGCAGCCCTGAAAAGGCATCAGCAAGCCCTCACACCAGAGGTGCTTGTCCTCCCTGAACACCCCATACAGACTCCCAGAGAGTGATTTGCCCAGTGTCACACAGGTAGTGAACAACAGAGGCCAGATTTGAACCCAGATCCTGTTACTCTAGACTCAGGGCTTTCTGCACTATTGCTGTACGTTGTGGTTTGTGGACTGAAATGTATTGGGAATTGACATAATTTGATGCAAAGTGATCCCTGAACAATATTAACAACTTTACCTTTAGAATCTCACCTCCCTTTCTTCCCCTTAATGAATGAATGAATTTAGTAAGTACTAAATGCCATTGATGAGGCCAATACAAAATCAAGACAGCCCCCGCTCTCAAGAAGCTCATATTCTAATGAACAGTTAACACACAGAGGTTTCAGCTTTCCAATTCCTGGATTTCTCTCTAGACATCTGACAAAGTTTCCTACTGCCAGGAATCTCTCCCAGAGCATAAATTGCATTGTTTTCTTTCCTGAAAACTCTCCCCATATCTCACATCTGTCTAAAATGTCTTATAATGTATGTAAAGACCTTTCAGTGTTTTCTCCACACAGTGAGTAGGCATTCCCATACTAGCATTCCTTTGGAAGGGTTCCAGCCAACAATAGGTGGACATCTCTCATGTTTTACACTGAAATCAATCTAACAAATAAGTGTATGAGGCTCCCCTAGGCTCACTTCTGCTTTGCTGCTGGCAAATGTTTGAATAAAACTGGTGACCTAATGAATACAGAAAATGTAGACTTCAAACAATATTTCAATAATAAAAATACCAATAAAACAAACACCAGCAAACTAGTGCCTACCAAAAATAAAATAATAGAAAATAGTGAAGAGAAAGATAATTCTCCTCAAGGAAAAATCATTTGAGGTTTTAAGGGAATTAAGGAGAAGTAGGCTCTCTGTGTAGATGTTTGGTTCATAAGCATTCTGGACAAACCCTCAAAGTGGATAGAATGCTGGACCTAGAGTCAGGAAGACTGAAGTTCAAATCAAGACGCAGATACTGACTAGCTGTGTTAGTCTGCACAAGTCACTTGATCTCAGTTTTTCTCAGTTTCCTCAACCTTAAAATGGATATAACAATAACATTTATGTTCCAATGTTGCTGTGAGAATCAAATGAGAAGTTTTCAAATTTTTGAAGTGCTTAGCACTGTGCCTGGCACATAGTAGGCATTTAATAAATGCCTTCCCCCTCCCCCATCCCTCTATTAGAGAAAGATTTTCCAAGTTCATGAAAAGATAGTTTTTAGGTAACAATTGACTGAAACTGAAACTAAAGGTGATTTGATTCCTAGAAATCATCTCATTGCTGTACAGTGTGTGAGTGTGTGTGTGTGTGTATTACTGGCCTGTGGCTCCTGCAGAGTAGAAACTTTTGCTTTTCATTGTAGATCAGCTCACTGGCTGTGTGACCCAGGTCTAATAACTTACCTCCCTCAGTCTCAGTTTCCTCCTCTGTGAAATGGAGGTAAAAGAAACACCTAGTTCACAGCATTACTGTGAAGACAGAAGGAAAGAACACATAAAATGTGCTGCATAATGCTAATTCTGATCCTCATTCTCATTCTTTCCCCACTAAGGAGCTCCCCATCTTCTCCCTTTAGGGGCTGCTGCAGCCTCTGGGCTCCCTGCCTCCCCTGGGCCCTCATGTCTCACCCTTCCCTTGCAGGCTTCTCCCTTGGTTCCACTGTGCAGTCTCACACAAAGGGCATCTGGATGTGGTGTGTCCCTCACCCCAGCAAACCAGACCATGCCTTAGTTCTGCTTGATACTGAGGGCCTTGGAGACGTGGAAAAGGTAAATTAATTTGTGACATTCTGCTCACCCATTTCTCCTTCCTGGCTCTGCCTGAGCTAAGAAGGAATGACCTCTTACACCTGGCAGGCCTGTGTGTGGGTACAAAAGCCTCCTGCCAAGGGCTGCTTGTGCAATGTATCTGTGGGGTGCCGAGTATACGAAAAAGCCAAAGAAAGGCAGTCTCTAACCTTAAGGAAGTTTCAAATTAATGGAGAAAGACAAAAGGAAACACACTGGGGAAGAGGACAAGGGAAGATCTAGTATAGGGGCATGATATTGTGTGGAGTTGAAACCAAGTAGAGTTGCTGATAGAAAATAGCGAGTCACCTAGAAAGTTCTCATCTGAGGCCCCTATAAAAGAAGACTTTGAGAGGAGTTTACTGTTGCATCCTCCAACCTTCCAATCAGAGCAGAGAGGAAACTGAGGGAGCTGAGAAGGTGCTGAGAATGAAAAATCCAGTTGACCAGCATGGTGATGAAATTTGGGGTGATCAGATTATCCTAAGGGAGGCATGATGGTCCCTGGAGTCGAAAAAACTGGTGGAAAATGAAGAGATTCATTGTCAAGGTCCTTTACCTTGGCAATGAACAAAAGATTAAAAAAATCTCCCCTCGACCCTGGGACTGCTTTCATGTCAGTTTCTCTTTGTAATTTTTTACCTGTCACTATTTTGCCTTATACCCCTAATCTGCTGGGAAATATTTTCCCTCTTTCCAAAGTTCAATAATGACTACATGAGCTCCATCTTTGTACCACCCAATCTTCTTTAGCTCATAGAATTCACACACTAAGGATAGATAGGACAATGGGCCTTCCCACCCTGTTTGTCATCTCCTCTTGCTTTTGATGGCCCTAGAGTACATGGAAACTAGGAAAAATAAACGTTAAAGATATTCATCAGACATGGGATCTTTCCACACAAAAATAGAAACAAAGTAGGCCCCATTTAATGGTGGTACATCATCTTGAATGTTGCCACATACTCTTTGGTGCTATAACCCTGATGGGCCATCTGGAAGTTCAAAGCCCCTATACACATGCATGCGCACACACACACACATACACACACATAGAAGCAGAGTGATCTAGAACTGAAGTAACTGCTGGGGGTCCCTCTCAGGTGTTTCCCACCTCCTTCCCTTCTCCTCATTAGCTGACCTGGAACTTCAGGTCAAAATGATGTCCAGATAGCAAAGAGCTAACAGGTTCATAGATATACATGTGGTTTTGTTGTCTGGGTGGCATTATTATTCCAATAGATAGAACAATCTTGAATTCACAGCCCTGGGCTATCTCTATCAAAATCTCCAGGGAGGAGGTGGTCAAGGTAGTGGTGATAGTTTGACTTGACTTGCACAGGCTACCAGTGTCTTGCTTGATTGGTAAACCTGAATGCAAAAGTAGTCTCCAGTTTTATCAGCCTTGACCTTTCTCTGATTAATTAGCTTAGAAAGTAGACCAAGTAAAATATGGACAGACAGACAAGGATGGACGGATAGATCAATAGATAGCCAGCTAGATAATCTTCTAGGCATAGACTCCAGGTAATGATTTAGACTACAACCTCCAGCCTCAACCCTAAAACACCAAATCTTGAATATATGAGTGTTTACTGACTCCAGTGGAACTGACCACTAACTCTAGCTTGTCATACAGTGTCATGGATGGAGGGTGGAATCATGGGCTCACTGACATAATCTGTCTTGTAGGATGACTCTGAGAATGACTGCTGGATCTTCGCCCTGGCCATCCTGCTGAGCAGCACTTTTGTCTACAACAGCATGAGCACCATCAACCACCAGGCCTTGGAGCAGATGCAGTATCCTTTCAGAACTTCAGAACATCCATGACATGCTCAATGCTAATGTTCCCTCACCAGGATAGATGATAAACTATCCATACTTTAGGAGCTGTCATCATGAGTTACTCTGCCCAGAAATACATGTCACTGGGTGGCCAACCTTTTGGGTCAATGTCCCCCAAACCAGATTGGCTGATCCTTGCATGACAGTCTGGCACCAGGCCCACAAATGAAGCCTCGGGTGAACCTTGGTTGAACTTGCCATTGCACATAAATATTTTGCTTCCATGTTCAAGAACTCTGAAATGACTTGATCATTCCATCTTTCCCTCTGCCTTATCACTGCCAACCCTCTTTTCCCCTCTGCTTCATCTCACATCACTCATGTGTCTTCCTTTACATCCCATCATTCACCCCATCTCACATGAAGAGGTAGCCCCTCTCCTTGCCAAGGCAAATCCCTCTACATGTACCTTTGATTCCATCTCAACCTGTCTTTTCCAAGAGGTTATCTTCTCTATCATCCCTTATACTAAAATGTATCATCCTTGAGAGCAGGGTCCATGTTTTTCCCTTTATTTGTATACCTAGCATTTGGAACAATGCCTGATACATAGTAAGCACTTAATAAATGCTGGGTTTCATACAAGTGCTTCTGTTCTAATGTTACGGCAATCAGGAACCATGATGAGAACTGCAGTCTCACAAAACGGTTTGAAGAACATATTCAGTTAATCAGGCACTCCCCCCAAAAGTTCTGCCTTTTACATCTGGGATTGAAATACCATGAGTACAGAAGAGAAGGTGGGGGAGAGAATTTATAAGACTCAGTGGAGGGAAGGGAAGATTCCACAAATATAACTGGGAACTGATGAGGCCGGCAGGTGTTTCCTTTTCCTTATCCATGATCTTAGATATGTGACAGAGCTGACAGAGCTCATCAAGGTCAAATCCTCACCTAATGCTATTGGAAAAGACTCAGCAGAGTTTGTGGGCTTCTTTCCAGACTTTGTGTGGACTGTGCGGGATTTCACCCTGGAGCTTGAGCTAGACGGCCACCCCATCACCCCAGATGAATACCTGGAAAATGCCTTGAAACTCAGTAAAGGTAATTTATCAGGAATCAAGATTGGGCACATGGGTGGCCCTGGGCAGTATGGCGGGAAATGACATCAAATGTTTTTTTCCTGTTCTTTGAAACTTAGATGTTTATTCCTGGGACTTATTTTTTTGAATCTCATGGACTGTAGAAATGAAAGCTATCAAGACAGCCTGGTGTCAGACTGTCATGGCTTTGTTGAGGGTCAGTTAATCTCTTTTTTGTAGCTCCAGAATTTCCATAATGTAGTGATGTTTCCCAAGGGGGAAAATCCCTGAGAAACATGATTTTTGCCAACTTCTGTGATAGGTTTGTATTATATGAATTTACAAAAATAGGTAGATGTTTCTATATGTCCTGCAGTTGGTAGGTGAGCATGGAATTTCAATAAAAGTGAATGACTTGATTGTCAGGGTTATTTCATTCAGTCCAGTGCACATCTTGAAGAATTCTTCCTCTTTAGTAACAGCATAAAACTTGCTCATAACAAGAGATAGATAGCCATGTCCTTGAGAAGACATGTTGTACATCAAAATGGGAATGACATTTGCAGTCAGAGCCCTGGGTTCAAATTACAACTTTGGACACTTACTGCTTATGTGACTTTGAGGAAGTCATTTAATGTCTCTGAACCTCAGTTTCCTCATCTGTAAAAGGTGGATTTTGGACTTCAAGATCTCTAAAATCCCCCTAACTCTAAATTCATGAGGTTATGAGGAGAGAATTTCTCCTCTGGAGAATTCTAGAGAAACACTGGCTATGTCTCTCTCAAATATATCTTGCTTATCCTAAAGATTTCAAACTGACCATCAGATGCTCCCATTCAGCTCTGTCATTGCTCTAAGTAGCCTTTCTTCTTCTAACACTTCATAAGGGGTTATAAATCTAAATGTACAAATCTCTAATCTTGCACTATTTTCATTGTATGCTGGTAATCCCTTAACGACGTACAGGCAGAGATGCTGATCTCACTAGAAATATCACTCAACCATGTTTGGCAATGAGTTCCTTCAATTCCAGTCAAAATCATTAATTAAATATCTACACCATCCAAAGGATTGTGCTAGGTGTTCAGAATAAAAGGACAAAAATGCCTATCCTCAAAAAGGTTACATGCTAATGGTAAAAGGTAAAAGATCATTAGATAAAAAATATACAGAATAAATTAGGGAATGAGGGAGGTAAAAAGGACTAAAGAGCTGCAGGGATCATCAAAAGCCTCTATAAGAGGTACTGTCAAACCAGAGGGCTGCAGAGAGCCGCAAGTTCCAAATGAAAAGGTGATAGGGAGAAGAGTCTAGGCATAAAGGCAGACTAGGCAGAAAGATACAAATGGAAGATAGAATGTCATACATAGAGAACAGGAAGGTCAAGGTGACTGCCAAAGAAAATGGAAGGAGAGCTGTGGGAATTGAATCTAGTAGGACTAAAACTAGATTGGAAATCTGTCATGTTTGTGTTGGGTCCCAGAGGCATTAAGGAACCACCGTAGCTAGCTTCTTGAGCCAGGTGATAACATAATCAGCCTTGTTCATCAACTTTATCAATTTGGTCATGTGTGTGAGATGAGTAAGAGAGAGGAGGAAGTGGAGGCTGGAAGACCAGTTAGGAGGCTATTGCAAGAGTCCAGGTGAGAGGTGATGTGGGTCTGAACTCAAGGGACTGTGGGGTGTAAGTGAATGGAAGGCAATAAATCCAAGAGATGTTATGGGGGTAGAATTAGAAACTGATTGGTTACAGAGGTTAAAGATGAGGAAGAAATGTTGAAGATAATTTCTGAGACAGTTTTCTCTCAATGGCTAATTCTGTTTGTAGTGGTAGAATTGTGAACTTCAAACAAGGAGCATCTCCTTTATCAACCTGAAAGTCTAACTTTTTCCTGATCTTAGCTTTCATCTCTTGGGTCTCTTTCATTTTAGGGAGCCACAATTCTCTTTCTATATTATCTATAATTAGACTATCTATAATTCGCTGACTTCTACCTGGTCTTAGCTCAACATTGAATCTGTAAGAGGTTCTGTTCAGATTTGGGGCAAATCCATTTTCTCTGCATGTGTCTAGGTGCCTCCTCTGAATAATACATTATCCTTACAAGAACTGAATTGTTGTCTGATTTCTAGTAATCTCCCTAAATCACTTCTAATTTTAAAAATTCTGCGTCTATCCTTCTACCTTAGGACTGGATACATGAAGATTTGAATACAGCAATTACCAGTCATAAACATCTTCATCAACTCTTTGTCCTAGGCCTATGCATTACCATGATCCCTGTTTTCCTACCCCTCAGGCAAGAATCCCAAAGTTCAAAGGGCCAACCTTCCTCGAGAGTGCATCAGAAAATTCTTTCCAAAACGGAAGTGTTTTACTTTTGACCGTCCAACAAATGATAAGGCCCTCTTAACTCATCTTGAAGATGTCCAAGAAAGCCAGCTGGAGCCCGCATTCAAGGATCAGGCAGACAACTTCTGCTCTTACATCTTTTCCAATGCAAAAACCAAGACCCTTAGTGGGGGAATCATAGTCAATGGGAATCGTGAGTTTTCTTTTCTCCAACGCATACTTGACTGGGATTGGATATGTGTTCCTTGTTTCTTTGTATGTGTACAGATATTGTAAACTTTTTGTATTAATCTCACTACAAGTGTGGGTTTCTTTGTTCTTGTTTCCCTATCTTTCGGTTTACAAATTCCCAGGAATATGTGTTCTGAAACCATGTCAGTGTTCTTTGATGGAGACTAAATCTCCATTAGAGAGGTGTCATAGGTTTGGAGAAAGGCACTTGCCTTAATTTTACAAAGGGGAAGCATGTGGAGGTAGCAAACTATAAACCAGTGACTGACTTCTATCTGGCAAAATGGAAAGACACGTCATTAAGGGGATGGTTTGTGAGCATTAAGAAAGGGAATCGGTGCTCACTACATCCAGTGGATTAAGCAAATTTCCTTGTAAGACACTGTAACTGAATTGATGTAGATCAGGATAGTGTCAAATTAGCATAGTTAGATTTTAAGAGAATATTTAACAGTGTGTCATGCTGTGATTATGAACAAAATAGACACAAAATAGATGGTAAAACTGTAGGGTATATTCAGAACATATTAAATAAGCAGTCCCCCAAAATAGTCCTTAACAGCCTGAGGTGAATTTGAAAAGAAGTCTATAATGCCATGCTTTGGGGCTCTATACCTTTCTCAGTAACATTTACAAAGTTATAGAAGATGCAAATAGAATGGTAATCCAATGTGCAGATGGCATGGAGCTCAGAGAGACAACGAATACATTGAATGAAACAGGTAAAAAGTTATCCTGGCTGGCTAAAAAATGACCCTAAATGAATAATGGAACCTTATAAGAATATAAAGTTCTCCATTTGGGTTCAAAGTATCAACTTAAATAGAGTACAGAGGAGATAGAGATAGACAATAGTTCTGGAGAATTTCTTGGATTAGAAGGTTCCATTAAGAGTCGTTAGTCTAAAACACAAATTATTCAAGCCTTCATTGCCAAGAATGAGTTAAGTAATAATTCTCCTGTCTTTATTTGGCTCCAGTTAGGCTGCATCTGGTATTCTGTGTTCAGTTTTAGGCACCACACTTTAGGAAAGACCTAGACAAGGTCAAAAATTTCCAGGAAAGGACAACTAAAAATATTGAAAGGAATGAAGTTCACACAAAAATAAGCCCATGGAAGAATTCTTAGATCCATTCTCCTTGACCCAGAGGTTAAAATTAGGAGAAATGGGCAGAATTTGCTCAGAGGTATATTTAGGTTTGGTAAGCACGGAGTCTTACTAACCATTTAAATTGTTAAAATATAGAATAGGCTTCCTTGAGTGGTCATGGGCTTCCCTTAACTCAAAGTTATCTAACTGCTATAGGAAGTCACTTGCTAAGAATACTGACAAAGATATCCTTAGCCAGGCATGGGTTCTAGCAAATAAACGGCACTTGGATCAAATTGAAAGAAGGTTTTTCTTTGCCTTATTTTCCATTCCATCTTGTCTATCAGGGCTGGGAAGACTGCTAGAGATCTATGTGAAGACGATCTATAGTGGAGACATTCCCTGCCTGGAGAACGCAGTGTTGGCATTGGCTCAGATTGAGAATTCAGTTGCTGTGCAAAAAGCTACCAACCATTACGTAGAGCAGATGGCCTTAAAGGTAGACTTGCCCACGGAAACTCTCCAGGACTTGATAAACCTACATACAGACTGTGAGAAAGAAGCCATCTCAATTTTCATGAAGCATTCTTTCAAGGATGACACACACAAGTTCCAGGAGGAACTGGTGGTATGTTCTCTCAGCTATTTATACTCCTCGTTGCCTCTCTTTTCTGAGTGAAGCCTAGAGACTGGTCAGACTCTTTCTAATTTTTTTGACCTTGGGGCTTGTATCCCTAGCTCATGAGAGAAGAGCCTGGTTTCTCTAGAGAGCTAGACGCATGAAGACCTAAATCTCACTTATCATGAAAAGATGCTCCCTCCCTGTGACACATTGAAATCAGTTATTTCTTAGAAGACAAAATATCACCCACTCACATATTTGCTGAATAGATGGCATCATGGCTTTCGCAGAGCACATTGCAGTTTTTCTTGAGCTCACAGATTCACTCATCTCTACATACCTTCCCACCCTGAGCACCCTCAGATTCCTTCTAGCAGCATACTGCCAGTTCAAATATCTGCTCAGTCTTACTGAGTCTTGTAACACTCACTTGGCCCACACCAAAGGAAGAATCATTATTGTAGGATTCCAGGAGTGACAGACTTGGGAGATCATTTGATGTAATCACCTTATTTTGAGAGTGAGAGAACACTGAGCACCAGGAAGGATAGGTGATTTGTCCATGGTGACCTAGAATAGCAAATTTAAAACCAGAACCCAAGTCTCCCAGCTTCCCAGGCCAGAATTTTAAGTTTTATTCTAGCACACTATACATTTTGCCAGAAAAACAAAGCAAAGTAGACCTTTTCTCAACAGTTTCTCTAGAATCTTACTCTTTCTCTAATAAAATGATGGCACTTTGATACCTTTTGGGGCACTGTGCCAATCATCACCTGTTTTTTTTTTAATTATTACTGATGTAACTCTTCCTTTTTCCTGCATGTCTTTCCCTCCATCTCACTGGCAGCAAATCTTAGAAAATAAGAAGAATGGTTTCATACGTCAAAATGAGGAACATTCAATCAGATATTGTGAAATTAAGCTCAACTACCTCTCACAGACATTGATGGAATCCATTTCTCAAGGCATCTTCTCTGTACCAGGGGGTTACAAGCTCTACAGGGAAGAGAGAGAAAAAATAATGAACCATTACCATCAAGTACCCAAGAAAGGGATAAAGGTGAGGAAAGACCTGGAGGCCAGGAGTGGTGACGTGACAAGCAGGGCTCTATTGATCCCCCTGGATGGCTGAGCATTGACTTTCTCCTACCAATAACCAATAACCACCCAAGAGGAGAATGTCTAGATACTGTTGCCTTTTTAGTTCACATCTCAGCTGGAAGTTCTTGACAGAAATCTCTTCTTTCTGCCTAGAGAATATGCTGTGGAATTTAGGAAACTAGGCCATATGAGGGTCACAATAGGCCAGGCCTGATGCAGGCTGGCCTAGTACCTCAGGTTCAAGCTTGGAAGGAAATGAAATACTCATAGCTGTACCTCCTTGTGCTTTGGCTTTTTGGTACTCATTGACCAGTAGGTCACATCCATGACCTCTGTATTTAGTTTTCTGAGTCAATCACATCCCCCAAAATTCTCTCAATACCTTTTAAGGAAAAGAATATTCTAGCCTATATAGCAGATATTGCTCCTACCACAGAAGGTTTGCCCTTCTCAGCATCTGACTCAGTCTGGGGAAAATTATGCGTGTCTGTCTCATGTGCTTGTCCAGGCAGATGAGGTCCTCCAAAGGTTTCTACGGTCACTGGAGATGACAGGAGAATCCATCCTGCAGACAGATCAAGCTCTCACTGAACAAGAGAAGGCCATGGAAGGTAGAAGGGGATGGAGTATGATGACCTAGTCATGCAGGGATTTGGTGGGTTTGGAACAAAATTTCCCTAAGGCCCTCAGTGTGACATGAAGATTTTCCAAAAATGCTTGGGATTCCTTCTTCTCTACTGTCCCAGATCCTGCTGGGATCACAAGCAATTGTGATCATGACTGTAAATCTAGGAGGTCGGAAAGGGCTTTCCCTGCAGACTTTCTCAGCTCAGCTTCTCTGGGTCTAATCAAGACAGAGAAATTTAAGAATTTCCAGTCTCTTTTTCATAATCAGTTTGTGTTTCGAGTTCAGGAGAAAATGCATATGTCACTCTCCTGCTCAATAACCTCCTATGATTCCCTATTACCTCCAGGATCATATATAAACTTCTCTGTTCAACATTTTACTTTTAAAGCTCTTCATAACTTGGCCCTTCCTGTTTTTACCATTTTCTTAACTCTTTCTTTACTTCCCTCCATGCGTGCTACTCACTTACTTGCTGTTCCCCAGACACAACAAGCCATCTCTGATCTCCAGGTCTTTCCTCTAGCTGTCCCTTCTGCCATTAATGCTCCTCATAACTCTTACCTCAGCTAAAATCCCACCTATTTGGAAAGGCCTTTCATTGTCCCACCAGTCTTTAATGCCTCCTTCTCCATTTGTATTGCCTCCTATTCATTCTCTGTCTGCCTATGTCTCTGTCTCTCTCTCCACACACACACGCACATACACACATCTCGCATCTACATTTTTATATATATTCACACATTACTTTTTTATATATTTTCATGTTGCTTCTTCCTCTAGAATGCCAGCTCCTTTGGGCAGGAGTTGTTTTTAATCTCTTTTTTATCTCTCACATGTTTGGCACAGTGCCTAGCCCCTAGCAAGCATTTAATAAATGCTTTTTCACAGGAAATGAAAACTAGCCTCACTCAGTTTAATCTTCTCATGTTTTCTATTCCATCAAACAGTTGAACAGTTCAAAAAAGATGCAGCTGAGAAGGAGAAGAAGATGTTGGAACAGCAACTAATGGAAATGCAGCAAAAGATGGAAGCTCAGCAGAGAAGTTATGAAGAAAACATTAAGCAATTGGAAATTAAGATGATGGAACACAGGACCCAGATCCTGAGAGAACAGGAGATGATTCTGGAACATAAGATAAAGGTACATGGAGACTGGGGCAGTGCTTAGGAAGCAAAGCACCAATTGTACAGATGAAAGGATTTTTGTGTCATTCATGGAGTATCACCCCAGCTTTCACAGTGAGTGGCCCAAGCAAGGGTACCCCAAATTAAAGTTACTCTACAGGTTTACAGCCTATGAGATTCGAAGTCCATAAGCCCCTTCCAATATCTGTGTTTTTCCAGTTAACCAAAGACACAATTAATTCAAGGCAAATACCTACTGCCCAGAGGCTTTTCTGCTGTATTCCTTTTATAAAAGGCAGACACTTTAACATATAGTCATCAGTGTAGCAAACATTCCTCAGTGCTTTTTTTCCCCATGGGAGATCCACATATTTCTCTGAGCCTCAGTTAGAATGAGCCTTTTCTCTCCAGAAGGAGATTCCAGAACCCAAGGACTAAAAGCTTTTTGGAACAAAGATCCAGAACCATCCCAACTACCTTGTGCATTCAGGCCCAGCCTAAACTCATGTAATGTGGCCAGAACCAGCCCAGGCTAGTAATAGAGAGAGTAGATATTGATTCACATTTGTTTCAGTGTGAAACAAAGAGCCGAACCATTTTGAAGTTGACATGAGCCCAACTTGACTCACTCTCTAGACAGCATGTTATGTTTTGTTTTGTTTTTAACATGGACATCTGGTCCACTTGAATATGAATTGAGAATAATGATGAAGATGATAACTTGCATTTTATATGTCATTGTAAGGTTTACAAAGTATATGTCATTTCATTTTCTATCCTCACAACAACTTGGGGAGTCAGGTGTATAACTCCAGTCACAGCTAGCAAATGTCAGAAGCAGGATTCAAACTCAGGCCTTCCTGACTCCAAGTCTAGCACTGTACCACCTACCTCCCCCCTTTCAGGACCATGATTCCAACCCAGTTGACTTTGTGTTCAGTTGCTACAGATTTCAGCATTGGCCCTGAGGTCTAGCTTCTTGACTCTAGCATTGGGGAAGCTCTGAGTCATTGCAGAAAGGCCTAACTTCCAGATAGTTTTTCTCACTGCCCAGAAATGTCTCTTTGAGGTAAAATCCCCTGTGCCTTTTTTCCCCTCTTCTAAGCTACCTAGGGCTCATACCTTATGTAGCAGAAATACACAAAAGTGCTAGACCAAGGCAATTACCAGGCAATTACTAAGTCCTGGTTCTTAGTGGAATGGGGATTATCCAAGCTATAATGCTGATGTGCTTTTGTCTTCTCTAAGGAACAAAAGAAGTTGATGGAGGAAGGGTTTCATAAGAAAGCTGAAGAGATGGAGAGAGAGATAGAAAACCTACAAACAAACATTAAGTCTGCTGAGAGTACAAATTTTTCCTGGTGGACCTCAATTTTAGATGCTATTAGCACTCGAATGATGGCCTTATTACCCGGTGCAAGAAAACTCTTCAGAGGAGGGAAAAAGGCAGTGAGCCAACCTACATAATAATAAAATGGGTTTCAATTTCTCAAAAGAAAATTAAAGAATGTATTTGTTCCATCTAAAAACACATGGCACTGAGACTTCTTTGTATGTATTTGCGAGTGCATGTGTGTATGTGTTTCCTGCTTTTCATTTACTTAAATATTAAAAAGAAGACTAATATAATGCTCACTAGACAGGATAAAGAATATTGGGGAAAATTCACATGAAGAATATCTATCTCCTCTGTGTTAGTGAGATGAGGCTTCATTCCACTAAGTGAAAGGCTTCTTTTCTTTAAGGTAAATGGTCTGAAAAGCAGAAAGCTTGAGTTCTCCCTTTTTTCCCCTATGATTTCAAAGCTAGAATGAGGTGGAATGTAATCTGACTGCCTCATTTTACAGATGGCTCCTTTGTAGTGCAATGGGTAGGTCAGTACAAGAATCAGTGGGCACAATCTCTGGGAGATAAATGAGAACTAGAAGAATATGGAATAGGCTGTTATATAAGGTACAGAGATTTATATATGGTTGTTCTTTCCATTTACATTGTTGGAGTCTTTGTATATATTCTCTAGTTTCACTTAATTAACTCTACATCATATAGATAGTTACCTAAAAGATTTATTAAATACTTATTAGGGCCCATCTTCATTCAAAACTCAGGGATATAAATATGAGCCAAAATAAAGATAATCCCTACCTTCAAGGAGCTTACATTCTAATTCAGGAAAACAGATAAAAGGGACCTGAAACTTTGGTGGAGTGAGAGAAAGCATTTGAACATGAGTAGAAGTAGGAAAATTCAGAGAGGCAGGAGAGAGGCAAACTGAGGCAGGAAAGAGTCAAAGAACATTTAAGAGGTTAAAAAAAAAAAGAGATATCCGGTATTGGGGAGGGGTGTGCCCTGGTGCACATGTGGAAGTATTACCAGATGTAGGACTTGGTAGCTACAGTAGCAACAGCAGCTTCAGGAGCTCTCAGTCCAGAAACAGGGGGATTGGACAACTGGTCAGAAAGACATTTAAGGGACTCATGTGATAGTATTGGGCACAGAATAGAGTGCTATTTGGCAACTGTTTTGCCAATACCAAGTTTGAAATCACAGTTCTAAGGTGGAGAGGACTTTCAGTCACAAAAGAGCAAGGGGCATCAGGAGTGATAGTGTTTGCTGTCTCAGGAGCAGGGGCCCTGAACAACAATAGTGTTTGTGGCTAGAGGGAGTCAGGAACCCTTCCTAAATGAAGAGCAAGTACAGACCAGGAGAGTAGTGACCATAAATCTCCCTAGATCACACCACCTTGGAAGTACTGAAAACTTCCAAACTGCCAGAATGAGCCCTAAAAATAGCATTACAAAAAAGCCTGCATCTTGGGACAGTCCCTTTCCATCCCAGGTGGGCAGAACCCAACTTTCAAAGTCAATAAATAATCTGGGAAAATGAACAAAGAACAAAAAAGAATCTGACCATAAAAAGCTACTATGGTGACAGGAAAGATAAAAAACAAACTCAGAAGAAATAATGTTAAAAAAAAAGTTACAAGCAAAGCCTCAAAGAAAAATGCAAATGTGACAAAATCTCAACAAGAATTCCTGAAAGACTTGAAAAATAATTGTAAAAACCAAAAAGAAAAAAATCAAAAGGAAAAGTTGGGGAAGAAATGAAAGTGGTACAAGGAAATCAATAAAAGTTAAGTAAAAGATTGATAAAAGAGGTATAAAAATATTGGAGAAAAAAACATTTTAAAAATAGAATGGGCCAAATGGTAAAAGAGGTTCAAAATCTTAGACAAGAAAAGAACTCCTTAAAAAGTAAAATTGGCCAAATTGTAAAATATATACCAAATATCACTGATAAATATAACTCCTTAAAAAGCAAATTGGTCAAATGCAAAAAGAAGTAGAAAAACTCACAGAAGAAAATAATTTCTTAAAAATTGGAATTGGGCAAGTGGAAGCTAATGACTCCAAAGCAATTAAGAAACAAACAAAAAAAAAGATAAAGTCAGAAGAATGAAGAAATAGAAGAAAATGTGAAATATCTCATTGGAAAAAAAAACAACTGACAAGGAAAGTAGATCAAGGAGAGATAATTTAGGAATTATAAAGTCATATTTTTTTAAAAAAGCCTAGATAGCATATCTCAAGAAATCATCAAGGAAAACTTTCTATATCTTAGAACCCAGAGAGTAAAATGGAAATTGAAATAATCTACCAATCATCTCTTGAAAAAAATTCAAAAATGAAAATTTCCAGGAATATTGTAGACAGGTTCTGTAGCTCCTATGCCAAAGAGAAAATGCTACAAGTAACTCAAAGAAACCATTCAAGCACCATGGAGGCACAGTCAGGATCACAGAAGATATAGTGACTACCACATTAAAGAAGAAAAGGGCTTGTAATATGATATTCTAGAAGGTAAAGGAGGTTGGATTACAAATAAGAATAATCTACAAGCAAAACTGAGTGTAATCTTTCAAAGAAAAAAATGATATTTAATAAAATAGAAGATTTTTGAGTATTCCTGAAAAAAAAAGACCAGACCTGCATGGAAAATTGACATTCAAACACAACACTCAAGAGAAACATAAAAAGGTAAATATGAAAGAGAAATCATAAGGGACTAAATAAAGTCAAACTACTCATTTCTGTAAGGGAAGATGAGACATGTAATTTCTAAGAAGTTTATCAATGTTAGGGCAGTTAGAAAGATTCTATATAGACAGAGGTCACAAATGCAATTCAATTATGTTGGAATGATATACTTGAAAAAATGGGGGGATGAGAAAAAGGGATGCACAGGAAGAAAGGGAAAGGGTGAGGAATAAAGGGGAAAATTATCTAATATAAAAGTGATAAGCAAGGCAGAGCTTTTACAGTCGAGGGGAAATGTGAGGAAGGGTAAGCAATACTTGAGCCTGACACTCATCTNACACACACACACACACACACACACACACACACACACACACATTCTCAATTTGGTATAGAAATCTGTCTTATTCAACAAGGAAGAAGGAGAGGAAGAAGAAAGGAGAAAAGGGGGACAGAGTGAAAAGGAGGAAATATTAAGAGAGGCAGTGGTCAGAAATAAAACAAACTTTTGAAAATGGATAGGATAAAAAGAGAAAGAGAAATAAATAGAAAAAATAAGACATAGGAAAATGTATAGTTAGTAAGCATAACTGTGAATGGGAATGGAATGAATTCACCCATCAAACAGAAAAGTTCAGCAGAGTGGATGAGAAACCAGAATCCAGCAATCTTTTCTTTATAAGAAACACACTTGAAAGAGACACAAACAAAGTTAAAATAAGGGCCTGGAGCAGAAGCTATTATGCTTCAGCTGAAGTAAAAGAGGCAGGAGTTACAATCATGATGTCAGATAAAGCAACAATAAAAATAGATCTAATGAAAAGAGATAAGCATGAAAACTACATTTAGCTGAAAGGCACCATAGACAACGAAGGGATATCAATACTAAACATATATACACCAAAATGGCATAGTATCCAAATGCTTAAAAGAAAAGTTAAATGAATTACAGGAGGAAATAGTAAAATTATACTAGTGGGAAACCTCAACTTTCCCTTCTCAAAGTTAGAGAAATCTAACCATATAATAAATGACGAAAGAAGGTAAGGAGAAGAATAGAATCTTTGAAAAGTTAGATGTGATAGAACTCTGGAAAAAAATGAATGGGAATAGAAAGGAGAATTCATTTTTTTTTCCAGCTGTACATGGTACCTTCACAAAAACTGACCATGTATTAGGGCAATAAAAACCTCACAACCAAGTGCAGAAAAGCAGAAATATCAAATGCACTCTTTTCAGATCAAAATGCAATAAAATATATTTAATAAAGGTCTGTGGAAGCATAGACTTAAAATTAATTGGAAACTAAATAATCTAAGCCCAAAAATGAATGGGTCAAAGGACAAATCATAGAAACAATCAATGATTTCATTATAGAAAATGACAACGAGCCAACATTCCAAAATTGGAGATTTGTAGTCAAAGCAGTGTACTTAGGGGAAATTTTATATCTCTAAATGTGCACATCAATAAATCAGAGAAAGAACAAATCAATGAATTGCACATGGAATTAAAAAAATAGAAAAAGAATAAAAATTTAAATCCCCAGTTAGACAAAGGAGAGATTAACAAAATTGAAAATAAAAAGACAATTGAGCTAACAAATAAAACTGGGAGCTGGTTTGATGAAAAAACCCAATAAAATAGATAAACCAGTGGTTAATTTAATTTAAAAAAAGAAATAAGAAAACCAAATTAACAGCATCAAAAATGAAATAGGTAAATAAAAAATTAAATTGAAACAATTGTTAGTAGCTCTTCTGCTCAATTATGTGCCAATAAAACTGAAAGTCTAAGTGAAATGGATGAATATTTATAAAAATATAAATTGCCTAGATTAATGGAAGAGGAAGGAGAATACTTCAATAACATTACCTTATAAAAAGAAATTGAATAAGTCATAAATGAGCTCCCTAAGAAAAAATTCCTAGAATCAGATGGACTTACAAGTGAATCCTTCTAAACATTCAAGAAACAATTAATATAATACCATATAAAATATTTAAAATAGTAGATAAAGGACACATACTAAATTTCTTCTATGACAAAATATGGTTTTGATGCCTAAACCAGTGAAAACAAAAACAGATAAAGAAAACTATAAGTTAATTTCTCTAATTAATATTGATGCAAAAAGCTGAAATAAAATTCTAGCAAGGAAATTACAGCAATACATCACAATCATTGAATATAATGACCAATATTAAGAAAATGATAAGCATAATTGACCATGTCAATAACAAAACCAAGAAAAACCACATAATTGTATCAGTACATGCAGAAAAAGCTTTTGTCAAAATACAACACTCATTTCCATAAAAAATATTAGAAAGCATAGTAATAAGTAGAGCCTTTCTTAAAATGATAAGTGATAGATATCTTAAAATGAAAACCAAGCATAATCTGCAATGGGGTTAACTAGAAGTTTTACCCCCCATAACTGGAAGCAAGGATGTCCATTGTAACT